GCATGTGGGGAGGTGAGGCCAATGGTTCATCTACCAGAGCTCACCAGCACACTGGAGGCAAATCCAGACCGTCTTGGCTTCCAGCTCTGATCCTTGGGACAGCGATGGCCTCAACATCTCTATGTGACATCCTCAGACCTTCCGCATTCCCGGCCTGAGCTCAACACCCCCGAGGCCTAGACTCCACCTGTCCTTGGTGGTTCTCAGCATCCCGGCACCCATCATGGCTCTGCCTTATGCCCGGTTTCTACCAGATGGCCTACCCACTCTCCACCAAGCCGTCTGTGTAGCTACAGTTGGTGAAGGTGCCTGTCTTCCCCATTATCACTCCAGTCTGAAGTTCTGGGTTGTCCCTTCTCCTGTCTCCAAATTCTCTAGAGGTGGATGGAAAGATTTCTGCCGTGGGTGTCCAAACGCACGTCTAGCTGCCCTTGACTTTGTCCTTAGGCTTGAAGGTTTTTCACTCCACCGTGACACCCAGAGGAACTGTCTCCTTCCCTCTGTGTGGTTGTGTGGGCCTGAGTATGTATGCACACATGCATGAGCCCACAAATGCATGCTATGCACAGCTAAGCACACAGGGGTCTCACAGAGCAAGCCAACCTGGGGTGTGTGCCTGCTGGAAACACCTCTGGCCCTGTGCTGGTGTTTCCCACAGCACCTGGCTTGAACCCCAGCATGGAAAAGGCTATAGAATTGTCCAGCCCTGCAACAGCCTTGCTCTGGGAGCATGTCCCTCAGTGTTGCCTAGCCCTCTGTCCAAATGGAGATGATAATTATCCAAATGACTCAGCCAGCAAATATTTATAAAGCGTCCCTACATACCTGGCATGGCATGGGCTCTTGACAGCTGTGTCCACGACAGGTTCCTGCCCTGACTGAGTTTACATCCTAGTGTCAGGAAGGTGGTCAGGAAATAGACAGATAGGGGGTTTGGGTAGTTGCAGAGATGGCTGTCAGTCAAGTGCTTGATGAGCAAGGCTGAGGACCCCAGCTTGGATCCCCAGCATTGATATAAAAAGCTGGGTGCAGCCTGGTGGTCATGGTGCACACCTTTAACCACAGCACTTGGGAGGCGGCAGAGGCAGGCAGAATTCTGAGTTTGAGGACAGTCTGGTCTGCAGAGTGAGTTCCAGGACAGTCAGGTCTATGCAGAGAAACCACGTCTCAAAAAACCCAAATGAAAACCATACAACAACCACAAAGCGAAATTACCCCCACCAAAAAATAAAAAATAAAAGCTGGGTGCAGTGGTATGTTCCACTACCCCCAGTGCCAGGGAGGCAGAGACAGGGAGACCCTTGGGCTCACTGGTCAGTGATTCCTGCCAAATTGGTGCACTTCAGGTTCAGTGAGAGACTCTGCCTCAAAAAAAATTAGACGGAGAACAATTGAGGCAGATACCCATGGTGACCTCTGGCTTCTACACATACATGTACATACACAGACATGCACTTACATATGCACTCAGACATAGACCAAACACTTAACTGGTTAATAAAGGAGAGTTTCCATTTTTCCTTGGCACTCTAAAGCTCAGAGGAGTGTGACTGGGTGGTCAGACAGGGCCTCTGTTGGGTGGGTGGAAGAGCTCTGGAGTCGAGCCTTGAGTGGCAGGAAAGGCAGTCACTGAATGGCCCAGGGAAGTAACATTCTAGGTCAAGGGTACAGCCAGTGCAAAGGCCCTGGGGTGGGAGTGAGCTTGGGGGAGCAGAAAGAGGCCAGTGTGGCTGGGGAGGAGACAGCAGAGTGAGTCCAGGCAGGCCTTTTTAGGCCGTGCTGGGGAGCCTGGATTTTCATTTAAGGGAGACAGGAATTTGCTGTAGGGTTAGGAAGGAGGAGGGAGGCACGTGGCATTATTTATTTTTACAGTATTCCCAGCTGCCATCGGGGAAATGGGGAAGGGGACAGGGTTATCCGAGGAGCCGTTGAGATCCAGAACATGTGTGGTTCTTCAGCCACTTGCCGCCCAGCCGGCTTCTGCTGTCATTATGGTCTCCGGTCTTAACTGGCGCTCAAAGGAGGCCACTGAGCCCAAGGTCATCCCAAGGGCTGGGGGTAGTGAAAGGCTCCTGGAGAGGGACTTGGATCAGGCTGGGAGGCGGGGTCACAAGAGGGGGTCTTGAGTGCTGCCAGCTTGTCATTTGCAAGTGTCTCCCTGAGACAGATGCTTGGTGGCCCAGCTCTACTCCTCTGCTCTGGCCAGCAGGGCTGGAAGCAGGGAAAGTCACTCCTTCGGGCTGACTCCTTTGGTTGAGGCTTTGGGGCCTTGATTCCATGGGAGGGTTCAGCCTGCCTGCGCCTCTAGTCTTTCTAGCTGCCGAGGGAGACTGCTCCCGCCCCTGATCTCGAGCAGGGGGATTTCAGACAAAGCCTTTCCCCATGTGTGCCTCAGTCTCTCTTGCACCGGAGAGTCGAGATCAGCTGCTGCTCACCGGAGGTGGGGTGGGGAGTTTGCTGCTCCTTGGGTAACCACCCCCTCAGCATCCACACATGACCTTAGGGTCACTTACCCGCTCTGGCTTCACACAGGCAAGAGAGGCAAGAGTAAGTCTCCTGGTCACATCACGGTTCAGAATGAGGACCTGGAACACCGTTTCACACCTTTTATATCCCCTCCTTGTGTCCCTCCCAAGGCGCGAGTACTCTGGCCCTCAGCCCAGGCAAGGACTTTGGGCCCCTCGCCTGGAGTGGAGCTCAATGCTGCCCCTTGTCTGTTCAGCCTTGGAACTGAGGGCAGGGGCCAGTGCCCAGTACCTGGCAGAAACTCCATCCTACAAGGGGCCGTGGCAAGGCATGGTAGGTGGACAGTCCGGATCAGTTTCTAGAACTTACAGAGCACTAGAGAGGTCACACAGGAAGTCCTTGATTTGTCCACGGTCCTAGCTTTGGTCTTCTGTGGCTCGGATATCAGATGGCGCCACTCACACCCTCAAGCGGCTTCAGGGAGATCAGGCAGAACCTTAACCAGAGGGTCTCCCCGGCCTGCCAGACCCAACTCTGCGGCTGGGCGCAGGAGCTTGAGGTATCTGGCAGGATAGAGGGCTCAAGCCCAGAGTCAACGCCCTGCTGCCCAGGGTTGGAGAGAGGTCGTAAAGGACTAGAACTCAGACAGCGGGCCGCAAGCCCTCACACCCTCTCTTCCTTCCTGTGTTCCCCTGGAATCTCAGTTGAGGAGGTGACCTCCTCCCCTCCTCTGCGTGTGCCACCGGAGGGAGCCAATAGAAATAGCAACAAGGGCAGCAGGGATGTAGGGCAGACCAGGACTCCCTTACTCAGCACTAAGCCCCGAGGGTCCCTGGTGTCGTAGCATCAGGTCAGATAGCTTAGAGCTTCTGTTGAAGGTGTGTGTGTGCCTGCGTGTGTGTGTGTTTGTGTGTGTGTGTGTGTAAAAATCTGAAATTTAGTGCAGTTGTTCTAGGTAGTTTATATAGAGAGACCCTGTCTCAGAGAACTCACAAAACATCCAAACTCTAGGTGGTGACAATGAGTTGGGCTTAGGCAACAGATCTCTCTCTCTCTCTCTCTCTCTCTCTCTCTCTCTCTCTCTCTCTCTCTCTCTCTCTCTCTCTCTCTCTCTCTCTCCCCCTCAGTAGTATTTGAAAACCCAGGGTTACATGGTTTTAGTTGGTCTATAGTAGCTGAACTCCCCTCAGAGGCCCAGGGAGTCCCCAGAGAGCAGAACTCACTTTCCTCTCTGGGCTCACATAGGTGCAAAAGTCTTCCTGGAATTGACCTCTGTTTCCTGCAGGCCCGAGCTGGTGGCCTGAGGCAGGCCCAGCGGGCTGAGTCCCCAGGTGAGACTCAGGAGTAGGCAGACTCCGGATTCACATCCTTATCTTCACACCGCAGCTTCTTTTGCTGCAGCCCAGGGAGCTGGACTCTCCCTCTCCTCCTCCAGTCTCTTCCTGAACCCAGATAAGCCTCTCCAGAAGAAAACAGGGTGTTGGGGCCCACATAGTGGAGCGAGGGAGCAACCCAAACCAGAGACAGAGGAAAGGTCCCGGCCTCTGCAGCTTTCCAGGGTGCTGGGACACGACTGGCTTGTGTCTCTGGATTAGGTCACGTGGGAGCATAGCCTAGACTACAGGGGGCTGGGGCAGAGAGGAGAGAATTGGCTGGCGAGTATGAGTATGCGGCTTCTGCCTTCCTAGCCAGGGTGACGTTGGACAGGAAGCCTCTGGAGGTTGGGCCGAGAGCTTCTCAGACATCTTCCTCAAGTTCTCACCAAGAAGGGAGTCCTGGACCTTTTTTCCTTTCTTCTGCCATCACCAGACGCTGGTGCTGAAGGGGCCTCCGTGCTGGGCTGCACCCGCCCAGCACCCTGGACAGCGGCGCATGGTTGGGGGGGCCCCCTGTGGCTGACGGCTGTCTCAGGGCTCTGTTCTGGCCTCGCTGGGACGCTTTCTGTCAGCATCAGGCTGTACTTATTCTGGTCATCGCCGTGACTTCCCTTAGTGCCCCCTCCCCAATAAAGGCAACCCCTGGGTCAGCTTCCTCCACTAGTCACAAATTGGGACATGGGGAGAGGGAGAGGCTCATGACCGGCCGAGACCAACCTGGAGGAGCTTTGTCTCCTCTCACTGGCAGTACTAGAGGGGGCGGGGGAGCACTTGCCCAGCTCCTCACTGCCTGGGTCTTCCTTAAGGGACTTTGGTGAATTCTGAAGGACACAACAGAGACTCTAAGAAGTAATAGAGAAAGCAGGGGCTTGGGTGCACGGGCCCAGCCACGGGCTAGAGGAGAGCTGTGCCGTGTGTGTGTGTGTGTGTGTGTGTGTGTGTGTGTGTGTGTGTGTGTGTGTGTGACACGGCCATGGAAGTGAGGATGTCACAACCTGAGCTCGTTCCCCAGCTGAACGTTACTAAGGACATCACCATGGCCAGCCCCCTAGCCCCTGACGGGCTGCCCCAGCACTGGCTTCACAGGACTTTGGACACTCTGACTTCTGCCCCAGCTCTGTCTCCATCTTCTGTCAGGTTTTTTTTTTTCCTTTGGAGCCCTAGGGCTGGCTGGGTCAGGAAGCAGTGGCTGTCATGGATGAAGAAAAGTTCCCATGTGGACCGCGCGAGGAAGGAGGTGCTATCCAGGACCCCAGCCTGGAACCTGAAGGGGAGCCTGGGGTCCAGAATGAAATGGAAGCCGGTGAAGACCCAGGCATCCACATCATCGGTCCAGGCCGTGAGGAGAGAGACACCCTAGAGGGCGCCATGGAGCCCACGGGAGACCCAGATGTGGCCCTGCCTGGCCTTAGCCTCTCTCTCACCAATGGCCTGGCCCTGGGACAAGATGGGAGCATTCTGGAAGATTCTATAGAATCCAGGCCCTGGAGGGCTAGTTTACTCGCAGAGGAGGAGGAGGAGGAGGAGGTCTCCAGGAGTCTCTGTCCAGATGCTGAGGACCCCCAGCTGGGGTAAGTAGGTACCCGGGCCAGGTACTCACATTTCTAACTCTGTGATAGTGCCTGGGGCTAGCCCCTTAGTCTCTCTCTGGGAGTCTGGGATTTCCTGTCCCCATTTTCGGCTTCTGAGTGTTTTGAAAAGACTCCACGGGTGTTTCAGAGGCAAGCAGGCTTGCTGTCTCCTCCCGCCGCCCCCCGGTGCTTGGCCCCCACAAGCCATAATGAGCAGTTTCTGCGAGGGGCTGTCCTGTCTCTCCAGCTGACAGTGGAGCTTCAAGTCCACTCAAACATCTCAATGTGGAAGGCAGGCTCTCTGGTCCCTTCTCCTACCTCAAGATGGCCCCAGGTATGCAGGCTTTATGTGCTTGTCCCTCCCAGGGAGGTTTCCTGGGATTTTGGATAAGCTTGTACCAGAAACCTTGTGCCTGTCCTAGTTAATGGAGTTAACAGTCTGTCAGCAGGAGTTGGAGAGACTACTGGACTTGGGGTACCACTGGACAGGGAGGAGGGGATGGGAAGAACATAGTCTTTGTAGAGCGTAGCTGTAGGCCTGTCTGGGCAAGTGCACAGGGGTGTGTAAATATGCGTGAGGGTACGTATGTGTACCTCCAGTCTTTTACACGGTACACGCACAGGGGTGTGTGAGTATGCATGGGGGGCACATGTGTATGTATATGTGTGTTTGCACTCATGTATGTGTGTCTAGCCTGCACATTGGCATTTGTACAGGGAGTGTGTGTGAATATGCACGAGGGCTTGTGCATGTGTGTTTGTGTGTGTCCAGTCTGTACGTTAATTAGTATACGCACAGAGGTGTGTGAGTATGCACCGGACGTGTGTGTGTGTGTGTGTGTGTGTGTGTGTTCGTGTGTGTGTGTGTTCAGCTCCTGGAACACGTATGGTAGCTAGCCTTGGTATGGGGAGACATCTAGGATGGATGGTGACTATACTCTTGCGTTCTATAGGCTGGATTGCCCTGGGGAGCCAGATGTGCGGGATGGCTTCAGTGCCACTTTTGAGAAGATCCTGGAGTCGGAGCTGTTGCGGGGCACCCAGTACAGCAGCCTGGACTCCCTAGATGTGCTGAGTCTCACTGATGAGAGCGACAGCTGCGTCAGTTTCGAGGCCCCCCTCACGCCTCTCATCCAGCAGCGGGCTCGAGACAGCCCTGAGCCTGGGGCTGGACTGGGCATTGGGGACGTAGGGCCCGAAGGGGACCTGGGGGCAGCTGGTGGTGGTGATGGGGAGCTGGGCAGCCCCCTGCGGCGGTCCATCTCCAGCAGCCGCTCAGAGAACGTCCTGAGCCACTTGTCTGTCACGTCGGTGCCCAACGGCTTCCATGAAGACGGACCTGGGGGCTCAGGAGGGGACGATGAGGATGAGGAGGACACAGACAAGTTGCTGAACTCTGCCAGGTGAGGAGGGGGCCTAGCTTGGGAGCTGGGAAGCCACTGAGCAGATAAGGGGGGGACTGAGACCCAGAGGAGGCAAAGCATTCTGGGGTGACAGTGTCCACCGCCCACAGCCCTCACAAGGTCACCGTGTCTGTCCTCTGCATGCAGACAGCCCGCCCAGTCTCAAGGGTGCGCTCTGTTCTTCCGTTCTAATAGCTCAGAGCGGGTCATGTTGCTATGCTGGGGGCACAGCCACATCTGATTCCACTTGAGTCACTCTGGGAGTCTGCCTCGATGCTTTTCTGCTGCACTGAGACCTCTTACCCTCCCAACCCCCCCAACCATGGGTTTTCAGAGACCTGGGATCCCTCCCAGCCACAGGACTTCTGATTCCCCCCCTTCCTATCTGCAGTGACACCAGCCTCAAGGATGGCCTGTCGGACTCGGACTCAGAGCTGAGCAGCTCCGAGGGGCTGGAGCCTGGTGGCCCAGATCCACTGGCCAATGGGTGCCAGGGGGTCAGTGAGGCCGCTCGCCGACTGGCCCGCCGCCTCTACCACCTCGAGGGCTTCCAGCGCTGTGATGTGGCCCGGCAGCTGGGCAAGAAGTGAGTGCGTCTCCCCAGCGCCTGTCCCAGGAAGAGCAAACGCACTGTCTTCCCCAGCCGGGAAAGGGCAGAAAAGGGCATCGGTGACTTCTTTCCGATGGGGGGGGGCAGGGCGGGGCGGGAGGGGTGGTGGATGGTGCCACAAGCTCTCACCAGGCCTTCGAGGATACCTCCTCCTGTCACTGTCCTCATTCTTGACCTCGCCCTAAATCTTGTTTCCTTTCTGGGCTTCTTGGGAGAAGGTGGCTGCTGTCAGGGAAGGGGGGTGGGTGGGTGGTGACAGGCAGCTCCCTCAGGGCTGGGGCGGGATGGGAGATGCGGTTATGGCGCCATGAAGGGCAGTAGAGAGGACAGGATAACCTGACAGGCCCAGCGGGGCCAGGTGGAGTGGAGAACCTGTGAGGGATCTGGGGTAAATGCCGGGGAACCGGAGATAATGGCGTCCGTCTTCATTAAACCAACCCGTCTATTGGGACCACCTGTAGGGTCTGGTCACACAAAAGTCACAGGGCATAACCTTCAGACTGTGTGCCAAGGACACTAGGGAGGTAGACGTTGTGAGGATTGGGGACCTGGTGTGTGTGTGTGTGTGTGTGTGTGTGTGTGTGCTGACATAGTCTGAGTATGTATGAACATAGTGTGACCCTTGCCTTGGCCCCTCTATTCACAGGAACTCCATCACCCCAGGAAGGCTTGGAGGTGGGGAGAGCTGGCCAGCCTTCTGTGCCACTCACAAGGCTAAGGCAGATAAATCTTCAGAGCTCGGTCAGGCTTAGATGAGGGGTTTAAGTCTTAGGAGGCCTTTTTGTACCCTCTGAATCTTTTTTTTTGTACCTTGGGCAGTGGGTTCCCGGGAGCCCTTCCTGAAAAAAATCACAACTCACACACTTCTCTGGCAGGCTGAGCATCTCCATACTTGGGAGAACCAATTCTTTCCATGGCGCCCTCTTCAGGCTCCTCCAGCAATTTCTGCAACTCGCCCCTCCCATCTGAAAAAGGGCGGGGAGGGGGGAAACATAACAATGACATGACTTTCCAACCCCTCATCTCTAGCTCTCATGTCTTTTGCCCTAGGTAGATTCTATCCCCTTCCTTTCTTTTCTTAGCCCCACCCAGATGGGTTCTTGCCATTCCGTGCCCTCTTCCGAAACTTCCCTTTTTCCAAGCGCCAAGGGCCTTAGGGTATTGGAAGCAGGCCACTGCTACCCCATGCCACCTTCAGCAGTATCTACACAGCTGGACCACTTGTTTCTTTTTTTTTTTTTTAGATTTATTTATTTATTATGAACACAACATCCTGCCTCCATGTATGTCTGCATGCCAGCAGAGGGCACCAGATCTCATTATGAGATGGTTGTGAGCTGCCATGTGGTTGCTGGGAATTGAACTCAGGACCTCTGGAAGAGCAGCCAGTGCTCTTAACCTCTGAACCATCTCTCCAGCCCTTGTTTCTATTTCAGGTTTTTTTTATTATGAACCTTTTGAGAATACGCAAAACAGATAAACAACACACCAAACTTTTCATATGTCCATTATGCAACTTCAGAGGGTTCTGGGGGTCTCACTATGCAACCCAGGCTGGTCACCAAATTCCTCTGCCTCAACCTCGAAAATGCTGGGATTATAGGTGTGTAGGTGTGTATTGTCACACCCTGCTCTCAGCTCTGATGTTGTTCCGTTATTCATTCCTCTGTTGTCCCACAACTTCTCCCCCGGTTTGTACGGGGGATAGCATATTGGTACACGCTATCATTTGACTCACAAGTGCTTAGGCTATATGAAAAACTTTAATATAATTACCTTATGACAGTTAACAAAATTTTCTCATCTCCAACATTTGTTGTGTTTCATTTTCTCTGGTTCTCTCAAAAGCATTGATCTGGTCAGGCCTGGTGGGGGCAAGCTTGTTATCCCAGCTACTGGGGGGGGGAGCTTGAGGCAGGAGGGTCGCAAGCTTAAGGCCTGCCTGGGCTACAGAGTGACTCTTGTCAGAAATATATAAGATATAAAAATAGGGCTTGGCTGTAGCTCAGCATAGAGTACTTGCCTTATATGCATGAGGCCCTGGGTTCAATCCTCCATACCACCCCACCCCACCCCCCCCAAAAAATGGTGTGTTCAACATAGGGCAAGAGTATGATTCTTTTTCACAAATGGCATTTAATATACAACCAGCTGCTTTTCTCTCTTTTTCATCTCCCCCCACCCTGTGGTGCATGCATGACATCTGTATGTATGTGTGAACGCACATGTGGAGGCCAGAGGCTGATTTTCAGTGTCTTCCTCCGTTGCTTTGCACACACTGTTTTGAGACAGGGTCTCTCACTAAATCTGGAGCTCACTGACTGGCGAGGTGGGCCGGCCGGCAGTCTGCAGGGATCCTCTCGTTCTCAGTGACGAGAACATGTCCACGACACCAGGCTGGCTTTTTACCTGGGTGTAACGAGCGTGCTTTGTTTATCAACATATACACAGAAGGATCCCCCCCCCATCACCTGGGTGCTAGGAATCCAAACTCAGGTCCCAGGCTGTAGGTGGAGTTTCTCTGTGTCTTGGCAGCCACTCCCAAGTAACCAGACAGAGGCTTATTATTAATTATAAAGGCTTGGCTGATAGCTTAGGCTTCTTCTCTCTAGCCAGCTCTTACAACTTAGATTAACTCATTTCTATTAATCTGTGCGCTGCCTGGAGGCTCGTTTACCTCATCTATGAACTTCCCATGTTGCTTCTTCCGACACCCAGCATTCCCTTTGCCCCTCAAATCCTGCCTAGCAATCAGTCAATCAGCTTTTTATTGACAAGGAGAGCAACACATATTTAGAGTGTACAAAGACGGTTCCACGGCACCAGGTTTGCAAGGCTTTGACACTGAGACCGTCTTCCCAGGCCCGTCTTTTAAAGTGCCGTGTACTGAAGGAACAGAGACATTTGTCCCAAAGAATTTCCCGTATTTTGGATATGATATGGTGTCATTTCACACCTTCCTCTAGTTCCCACGATCCTGTGGTGGGAAGGAAAGCTTGAGGCTTGATTAGAGTCAGGAGGAAATCTCTCCAAATTCTTCCTCCCGGGCATCATGAAACATGCTCCTTCTTGGCCTCCAGGAGACTCTTCCCCTCTGCTGTTCTCAGACCCCTTCGCAAGCTCTTTCCTTGATCTAGACCTTAATGGGGCTGCTTTCTGAGCTCTGCCCTGGGCTTGCACATTAAAAGAAAATATTCTGTGTGCGTTGTGTGATTTAAAAAAAATTTTTTTCCGAGACAGGGTTTCTCTGTGTAGCTTTGGAGCCTGTCCTGGCACTGGCTCTGTAGACCAGGCTGGCCTCGAACTCACAGAGATCCGCCTGCCTCTGCCTCCCGAGTGCTGGGATTAAAGGCGTGCGCCACCACTGCCCGGCTATGTGCTGTGTGATTGTATGCTACATGTGTGCAGACGCCTGAGGAAGCCAGAAGAGGGCAATAGAACTTCTGTGGCTGGATTACAGGTTGTGCAATGCCAGACACAGGTACCGGGAACCAGACTCAGGTCCTCTAGAAGAGCGGTGAATGCTGTTGTTAACCCTTGAGCAATCAATTCAACCCGGTCTGGCCTCAAGCTCAAGATGGCCTTGAACTCCTGAGACCCCCCTAGACACCTACCGTGCTGGGGACTGAACCCAGGGCTTTGCGTGTCGTAGGCAGACCCTCTGAGCGGATACCCTCAGCCCATCTGTACCTTTAAAAGTTTTGCTTATTTATTTTCAGACACAGTTTCATTATGTAGGGGGGTTGGTTGGGCTCAAGCGCCGATCCCTGCACCTCGCAGTGCAGAGGTGACAGGCAAGCACGCTGCCACGCCGCCTGCCGAACTCCCTGCGCCTTGTTCTCGCAAGGGTTCAGGTCTCACAACACCAAGCTGTCTCTTACAAGGTTCCTCTCCCAGGGGTTCCAGCCCTGTGCCTGTTCTGAGCTCCGACAGCTCCACTGTTGGGGAAATCAGTCATTCCTTTTTCTTTTTTTGGTGATCTCAGCAGCCTGAATTTTTTCATCTTGGTCACCTTTTTTTTTTTTTTTCCTAGCTCCGCAGGTACAGTATTAGCTTTAAAGTCTGCAGCCAACCGGGCGTTGGTGGTGCACCCCTTTAATCCCAGCACTCAGGAGGCAGAGGCAGGCGGATCTCTGTGAGTTCGAGACCAGCCTGGTTTACCGAGAGAGTTCCAGGACAGGCTCCGAAGCCACAGAGAAACCCTGCCTCAACCCCCCCAAGTCCCTCCCCCCAAAAAAAGGCCTTTAGCCATTTCCTGCCTAGTCCTTCCTGTGATGTGATCTGAGGTCTTGTCCTGTCTCTCCTCTTGCTGCTCCCCCCTAGAGGTTTGATGTGATGTCATATCCTCTCCTTTACTGGGGACGCTTGGCACGATCACCTCACCCTAATCCCTCCATCTGAGCTGGCTGAGACATCATCTCTTGATCCCCCAGACCAAGGGTGATCTGTCTGAGCTGAGTAACTAGAGGGGGAGGCAATTTCAGGGTCTGGGCAGATCTTCGAGGTGGTTAAGGGTGGGGCCCACCTCCCCAGTACCTGCCATCCCAGGCCTTGGGTCCTGCTTCTAATTGTCATCCCACGATGCTTTCTTGGCAGCAATGAGTTCAGCAGGCTGGTCGCTGGGGAGTACCTCAGTTTCTTCGACTTCTCAGGCCTCACGTTGGACAGAGCCCTCAGGTTAGTGGGGCTGGGGTGGGGGCAGTACCCACAGGTTGGTGGGACAGCGCATTTGGGTTGTCTTTCCAGGTCTGTCATAACTTGATGCACGGCATTTGCCCCTCTGGTAAAGCTTCGGGGAAGGGACGCTATGGGTAGCAGCTGTCCAACAGCTCAGTGACTGCCAGCTAATGTGACGGGTGCTGGCAGGGTATGGAGGTGGGGGTGTAGTCACAGCTTGCAGGGCCTGCCCGTATGGGGGCATTTCCTGCCTGCCAGATGCCATAGGTCTTTATAGACCTGGCCTACTTTGATGGTAAACGGAACTTGACTGTAGCTGTTTCAGTGCCTGGGCCACAGGAGGAGGAGGAGAAGGGGGAGGAGGAGGGGGGAGGAGGTGGAGGGCCTAGGGAGGAAGAGGAGGGCCTAGGGAGGAGGAGGGGTGGGATGGGTGGATGCAGTCCAGTGACATCATCAGAAAGATGCTAGGCCAGGATGAGGAGGGGAGGGTAATGTCTCTGAGCTAAGGGCCGTGTCCATAGATGTCTCTTATACTTAAAAAAAAAATCATGATGTTTTTAAAGATTTATTTATTTAGTATTCTGCCTGCCTTCCAGAAGAGGGCACCAGTTCTCATTATAGATGACTGTGAGCCACCTTGTGGTCACTGGGAATTGAACTCAGGACCTCCAGAAAAACAGCCAGTGCTCTTAACCTCTGAGCCACCTCTCCAGCCCCCATCTCTTATACTTTTTTTTTTAAATTAGTTTTTTTTTCTTTTCCCCTCTGTTTCATTTGGGATGCCTTCTGTTGGCTTCTAGAATATGTGCCGTTTTGCTGCATTCAGTGGACCATCGAAGCCAACTAAAAACTTACTGAGGCCTGGCTCTGTATGAGTAGGAAGAGTGAGGACCACAGTTCAGACCCTCTGCTTCTGGAGGCTCTCTGCCTGACTTCACCGAGTCTGGCAACTGTGTGCCCGTGTGCTAACAAACGCTCAGAGACCCCAGATTTGCTTTTTTTTCCAGCCCTAAGAAAGGATCCGATGGGTCTTGTTGGCAGTGCACCCAGGGAAACGGTGGCTGTCACACGTCAGCCCACCCTGTCCAGTCCTCTTCCTCTTGAGGCCGTTGGCCTGCGGCTCTTCTTGCTCCACCTGTAGCTGAAGGGAGCGCGCCGCCACCGCCACTGTTGGGGGATGACTATTGCTCTGTCTCCAAGCAGATCTGTCTTGATGAGCCGAGCCTTTGGATCGCATCCAAATGAGAGCGATCAGGGAGAGAGAGGGACAGTGGGAAGTGGGGACTGGTTCGCCATCAGAGGCCCCGGGCGCTGGGCTGAGGGTCTCCCACACAAAGCTCTGGGCGTGAAGCAGCACCGTAGTAGCAGCGTGCTAGCAGCCTTTAATCCAGAGGACAGGCCCGGGGATGCAGGAGAGATGGGTGTGCGAGCTTGCTGAAGAGATGGAGTGGAAAGCAGCTGGTGCAGAGATAGAGCCATATAGGCAGTGGGGGGGCTGAGCCTCGGGGGTAGGCAAGAGTGTTTGGGGGAGGAGGTGTGATGCTTGGGGCTTGGTAAAGAGCCCCTTGGAGGCAGGATTTGGCAAGGCTGGGGCCGGAGTTCAGGGAGTACAATGGATCGGGGTCTGGAGAGTTGACTCAGTGGTTAAGAGCACTGGCTGCTTTTCCAGAGGACCCAGGTTTCGGTTCCAAGCACCCACAAGGTGGCTCAGAATTGTCTGTAACTCCAAGGCTGTAATATGAAGGATGCGGATGTTTCTCTGGGGCTTCTGGGGAGCCAGGGAAAGGTTTTAAGTGGCTGTCCGGTGAGTTGAGGTTGCCTGCGTGTCTACAAGGCAGATATGTAACGAGTGTGGAGTGCTAGCTGAGAGACTGGGGTAGGTGTCCTGAGCACATGGTGAGGGTAGATTAGGGGGGGAAGAGAAGGAGGAAGAGGAGGAGGGAATTGAGATAAAGACAAAAGGAAGGCCAGGCGTGGCAGCACAGGCCTTTAATCCCTGCACTGGAGAGGCAGAGTTGGAGTCCAGCCTGGACTACACAGAGAGTTCCAGGACAGTTAGAGCTATGCAGAGAGACACTGTCTCGAAAACAAACAACTCTCCGCCCCAGAAAAATGAAGAACAAATCGCAGAGACTTGGTGCAGCTCAGACTTGGGGTGGGGGATGAGGATGGAGGGGTCAGGGTTAGGGCTTAACTGGTGGCGAGCAGGGATTAGGAAAGACTGAAGAAGATCGTGCTGATGTGTGGGTCGGGCATTCATTCCAGGACAGGCTCTGGGGTGCTCATCTGCCTTGTTCAGAGTCAACCCCCTGCCTGCTTCCAGAAGGGTGCTGCAGGAATGAGAGAGAGAGAGAGGGAGAGGAGAAGGAATTCTGTGGTCTTAGAATCCAGAGGCTATCTTGGGGGGGGATCCGCCTGGACCTGCAGAGGGTATCCAGTCCCAGATGCTGGGGTACATATGTGTGCCTGTGTGTGGGGAGTAAGCCTTCTGTTCCAGCGAGAAGGCTGAATCAGGGGGCTCTGAGATTCACCCAGCAACCTTGAATTGCATTCTAGAACCTTCCTGAAGGCCTTCCCACTGATGGGGGAGACGCAGGAGCGAGAGCGAGTCCTCACCCACTTCTCACGCCGGTACTGCCAGTGTAACCCGGACGACAGCACGTCAGAAGGTACAGCGCTCCCTGATCCACCTCCCACATTCCTGCCTGAGTCCTGGTCCTCTCCCATGCTGGCCCACCTGCCACCTCTGTCCTGCAGGCCCAGGTGGGCTATATGCGTTGACTAAGATTGGATGAATACAGTTGGGTGTGGTGACTCATTCCTGAAATCCCAGGGATTGGCAGGATGAGTCAGGACGATTTCAAGCTTGAGGTCAGCCTGGGCTAGAGTGTGAGACCCTGCCTCAAAAAAAAAAAAAACCAAAGCAAGAAAATGTCCAGTGAATATCCGGTGGCCTGGCGCTGGACAGGAGAGCCCAAATGGTCATTCTACTCCCAGTGCCTGTAAGTCCTTCAGCACGGTCCATGTTCCGTGTCTCCCATCACAATACTGACTCTTGGCAGGGGAGGGGGCGTTCTATGCAGGTCTCTTGCAGGGGCAGGACTTGCCGTATGGATGGACCTGAGTCGTAGGAACCGAGGGACTAAGTCTCTTGTTGTTGTTGTAGGGATATGGCTTGGGGTTCAGAGCCTTTCCTAGGTCTAAGGTTCAAGGTGACTTTGTCTGCAAGGGGCATACATCTGGGCTAGAGCCTGCCCAGGGTGGCCAGGGTGGTTGGGCATCACCCAGGCATTAGCCCTGAAAAGCTTGGGGGCAGATGTCTTGTTTCCTTTATCTGTGTGGCCTCTAGGCTGGCAGGTGGGAGGCCCTGGGTGGGAACGAGTGGGCTCTCACACCGAGACTCTGTTGTGTTCTGTTTAGATGGGATCCACACGCTCACCTGCGCCCTGATGCTGCTCAATACAGACCTGCACGGACACGTGAGTAGGGGGGGCTGTCGAGGGGACACGCGCTCTCACTGGCTCCCTGTTCTTACTGGCTCCCTGTCACTGAGGGTCAACCCTGTAGCCATCCCTGTTCCCGAAACTCTTGATCAGGAGCAGTATTTTTCTCCTAGCAGACCTGGGAGGTGGCTGGCTTGCTTCTAGATTTGACCGTGTCCTGGTTTTATCCACTGGTTCTGCTTGGGTTCTGGCTCCTAAGAACAGTGAGAGCAGTTGACCCACATGGGAATTTTTCTTTTTGATTTTCAAGGCAGGATCTCTCTATGTAGCCCTGGCTGTCCTGGAACTCCCTCTCTGTAGACCAGGCTGTCCTCAGACTCACAGAGATCCGCCTGCCTCTGCCTCCCCGAGTGCTGGGATTAAAGGCGTGCGCCACCACTGAGGCGCATGAGAGTCCTAAGACGAGGCAGGTAGACGCGCCGTCAAGGACGCATCTGTGGTGGAGCCCGTGCCTTGATCTATCTGCCAGAAGGCCGTCTGCTTTTCCACCTCTCTCCTCAAACCCCAGATGTGGCCTCTCTGAGATGTCACGCCCCAGACAGCTGGCCTTTGCCCACCAAGTGTCAGGTTACTCTTCAGGGGCCTCTTCCCTCACCCCCCCCACTTTTGCCAGGCCAGCGAGCGGAAGAATAGGTGTGGGGTGCCCTGCCCCCCAGGCTGCCTCCAGGTTTCCCACGCTCACTAATTCCTTCTTCCTTCCTCTGTTGGCCACTGCTCTGGGTGCCCCTGCCCTCCCTTCCTCAGGTGGTAAGTGCTGCCGTTAGAGTGTGCATGCCGTGTGCTTTAGACCTGCCTCCGTTCACCCCCCCCCACTCCTGTCACACCACCTGCCCCACCCAACCCCACCCAACCGCTATCTGGCCATCACTCACTAGGCCTGGTCAGAGCCCCTCCTGGGAGTTGGGTAGGTTTAACAACTCAGTGACAACACGGTCTAGAGTAAACCAGAAAAAAAGTCCAGGAGATACGGGGCCGTAAGAAAAATCTGGGGCAGACAAGATTCACAACCCATTCTTTGCCTTCACTGGGTAGTCATGTGAGCCCCGGGGCCAGTCACTCCCCTCACCCCCCCTGTGTCTCAGGTCCTGCATCATCTTCTCGGGGTGGTGATGATTTCCTCCAGCGGTCTCGGGGAGGACAGAGAGGCAGCAATTTATGTCACATATCGGGACCTGACCCTGGCAAGGGTTTTTTGCTGGGAACGATACAACCCACATGCCCAGTGGTGTCCATTGCTACTCTTACAAACCTGAGTGATGGACAGCCTGTCAGTACAGTCTTGAGGCTGGTGGCAGCTGGGGTGGCTGAGGGAGAGGAGGGGTAGCCGGCTGGGTTTGTGGGCTCATGAGCGAATATGACGTGTATTCCCCTTGAGCAGAAGTGGGGTGGGCACCCTGCACAAGCCAGCCCTCCCCCCTCCCCCGAGATTTCCTCCTCTGTTCACAGGTGTCACCCCTCAACACTGCTCACTCTCAGTGGGGAGACCCCCAGCATGGTGGGCCTTAGCTGGTCTGGGCCCCTCCGCTGAGGAGGGAGCGGCAGTTGGATGGGGGCCTTCGCACTGCTGCAGACACTGAGCAGTAAGCCCCTTGAAGCAGCGTTTGCTCAGCAAGCAGAGGGGAGGGACCTGGGTTAGGCTTCTCTGTGTTTGCCCACAGCACAGCTGTGTGGCCTGGAGCAAACCTCTTAACTCACCCAGCCTCTATTTATTTCCCACCTTGTTACCCCTGCCTGTGAATTTCTTTCTTTTTAAAAATTATTTTATTTTATGTGCTTTGGTGTTTTGCCTGCATGCGTGTGTGCGAGGGTGTCAGACCTCGGCAGTGAAGCTTGTCGGTGGGTGGAAGACCCCGGGGGGGAGATGCGGGGATTTGACACCTGTCTTTAAGGCTTCCTTCCAGGTGAGCCATAAAAACAGGCTAGGATTGTCCTTACCTCAGTGCCATGCCAGGCTTCCAGGAAAAGGCTGGCTGCCCTGGGTCAAAAGGGACCACCGAGTGTCTCTTGCCTAGCACCCAATCCCAGCCAGTCTCTACTCTGGGCAAGGATGTGGGTAGGGAGATGGTTGCCCTGGCATGAGGGAGCCAGGGTTACAGTCATGAGATGTGACAAGCTGTGGCCTTTTCCTGCTAGGGGACAGAGGCTGTGGGGAAGAGACTCCAGGGCCCCAGGGAGGTCCCGTTGATGACAACGGGAGTGGAAAGGAGACACTGGACGTCCAGGGTTCCCAACCACATACCTTCTTGGACTGTGCTGTTATCTGGGTCCCCTGTCCCCCCGTACATGTCTTTTTACCCAGTGGCTGTCTATCAATATTACTTTAAACTTTGGTATGCCTTCTTTTATTTTTTTCCTCCCCGCAACTTAGCCAGTCTTGCTTTTTAGCCTAGAGAGAGAGAGAGAGAGAGAGAGACGGACTTTAGTGAAGGGTTTGACTTGGAGTGTGTTCTCTAGAGTGACTATGATGTCCTCATATGTCAGTAAGGCCAAAAAAGGCATCCCGGGTTGTGGAAATCTTGTGTACACTCATTGATTAATTCCACTGTGGTAAAAAAAAAAAAAACACAGCAGCAAGCGCCGACTGTTTTAACCACTTAAAAACCCAGGATGCAGCCAGAACTAGTCCTCAGAGCCACAAAAGCAGTCACACCTCCTCACCTCTCCCCAGTCCCTGTAATGCGGACACACCTCCCACCTATGCGATCTGTCTGCTGCAGCCATTTCCTGTGAGTGCGACCGTACAGCCCCTGACCTTCTGTGTCTGGCTTACGGCACCTGACACGCTGCTCCCAAGGGTCGTTCATGTTGCAGCACGCGTCAGTACTTTGTTTTTGTTTAGGGATAAACAGTGTCTCATTGCATGGATACGTCACCTAGGACATAACATGGGTATGCATGCGGAGTTGCAAACATTTGTGGTGTGCAGGTTTTGGTTTGTACGCCTGTGCTCGATTTTTGTTCTTGTTGTTGAGACAGGCTTTCATTGTGTTGCCTTGGCTGGCCTGGAACTTGCTGTGTAGACCAGGCTGGCCTCAAACTCGCAGAGATTTAAGATGCCTGCCTCTGCCTTCTAAGTGCTGGGATTAGGGGCCCCTCCCTCAATTCTCTTTTTTTAATATTAAAAAAAAACATCCCTCTCTCTCACTCGAGTATGTGTGTTGTGCACATGTGGAGGTCAGAGGTCGACTTTCAGGAGTTGGTCCTCCTCGTCCTCTATGTGGGTCTCCCAGGGATCAAGCTAAGATCAACAGGTTTGGCAGCACGTGCCTTCACCTGCTGAGTGACCTTGCTGATCCCTAGTTTCTCATTTCTTTCAGATGTATGTTCAAGGTAGGCTTGCTGAATTACATGTTTTTATATTTAATGGTCTGGCACATTGTCTAAATATTTCCTGTCTCTCCAGCGGTTCATAAGGGTTCTATTTGTCAACAGCATTAGCTTTCCTTACCGTTTTGAAAATATTATTGATATCTTAGTGGATGTGAACTACCACTTTAGTTTTTCAGTTTGACTTTGGTGCTGTGGATTGAGCCCAGGCTCTTACGCATGCCCGGTGAGTGCTCCACCTCTGAGCTAGTGGGAGCCCTGCTGTGGTTTTTGATTCACCAGTCTTCATGACTAAGTGCCTCGGGGTGGGGGGGGGGCAGAGGCAGATGTGCCTCTGGGAGTTTGAAGTCAGTTTGTTGAGTTCTAGGTCAGCTAGGGTTACATAGTGAGACCTTGTGTCAAACAAACAAGCATTAAAAAAAGAAGAAACCATTGCCAGTTCCAAGTTTTGCCTTGATTTCTTCTGAGAGTTTCAGCTCTTCTACCTAGTTTTGAATTTTTCTTTTCTTTAGCACTGAGGATGGGACTTAGGGCTAGGCGAGCACTTTTCCACTGAGCTCTAACCCATGCTTAGTTTTAAATTCTATTCTGAGTAATGAAATACAGAACCAGATACAGGTTCAACCCCCTTCATTTGCATTTGGCCTCTGGCCCCAGGATTATTTATGCAGAAGATTCTTTTTCATTCAAACAGTCTTGGAAGACTTGTTACACTCTAGCCTATTGGTAAGCATGGTGTTATGTGCCAGTACTCAACACTCCCGAGGTAGAGGCAGGCAGGACTCCAGTTTGAGGCTACCTCCACTACGATACATACTACCTCAAACAGCAGCAAATTGATTGATTTAATTTAATTAATTAATTTTTCTTTTTTTATTATTATTTATTTTTAAGTTTAAATTTAGATTAGAAACAAGGTTGCTTCACAAGTCAGTTCCAGGTCCCTCTCCCTTTCCCTCCCCTCCTCCCGTGCCCTCCCCCCAACCTCCCCATTATCCCCTCATTTCCCCAGGGAGGGTGAGGCCCTCCATGGGGATGTCCATAGTCTGTCATTTCAGCAAATTGATTGATTTTAAATGATAGGTTTGAGGCTGGGGAGCTCAGCTGGTAGAGCACTTGTCTAGCATCCATGAGGCCCTCAGTTCCACGCCCAGTATCCCCAAAACTGGGTGTGATCACACACACCTTAGGATCCCACCACTTGGGAGGTAGCGTCAGGAGGATCAGAAGTTCAAGGCCGTCCTTGTATATGTAGAGAGTTCGAAGTCAACCTGGGGTACAGGAAGCCTTATCTCACACAAAAATTATAGATTTGCTTCCTGATTTATACTTTACTTTGATTCATTTGTGGCTCTGTTCTTATGTGAGTTCCCGGTGCTTTCCCGACTGTGGCGTTCCAGTAAGTTCTCAGTTGGAAAGTTTGATAGGTGAAGTCTATTCTGTGTTCAAGACTGAGTGAGTGGGTGATCTCTTGCAATTCCACACAAATGTAAGGAACGGCCTTTGCATTTCTGAAGAAGTGTGTGTGTGTGTGTGTGTGTGTGTGTGTGTGTGTGTAGCATAGAGATTTTGATGGAGATTACCTTGAGGTATTCAGGTCTGTTAGGGGAGAATTTCCATTTTAGCAATGCTAAAGTCTTCTTAATCCATGAACAAAGGACATCTTCCTGTGGATTTATACCTTCTTAATTCGTTTTAGAACTCTTCTGTAGTTCTGAGTAGGCAAACCTTTCATCTCCTTGGTTGAATTTTATCTGAACCAGGTCTCATGCTGCAGTTCAGGGTCTGGAACTCACCATGTAGCTCAGAGTGTCTCAAGCTCACTGTGGGTCCCCCGACTTGGCTTCAACTATATGTAGGCTTGATCCCTGTGCCCAGCTTCCTTGGTTAATTATATTGGCATTTTAGTATTTTTTTTTGAGACAGGATCTCATGTATCCCAGGCTGGTTTGGAATTCAGTATGTAGCCTGGGATGGTCTTGAACTCATGGTCCTCCTGCCTCTGCCTTGCTTGTGCTGGAACACACACACACACACACACACACACACACACACACACACACACACATGTACACACTACATTGAGTGTAGTTTTAAAAATGTAAGTCCAGTGCCAGATCTTGGCTACCTCTTTTCAAGTTGTTGGTCAGGAGTGCCCCATAGGCACCCAAAACGTTACAGGCTAATGCCGTTGCTCTTGGTTATCTTCCAGAACTTGACGGTAGGACCCTATAGCTGAAGAATCCCACACTTGAGTCACAGAACATGGAGAAATCGAGCTTGCATTGACCTGGAAGCTCTATCCCTGTTGGATGGGTGCCTCAATACTGGAAGGTGCTCTTCACATTATTTGGGGAGATAAGCCATCAACAGTTTTATCCCAACTTTAGATACCACAAGCCTCAATAACAAGCCTGGCCTGGAAAGATGTGTTTACTGGTGCAATAGTGACTTAACTGTTATGGGAATAACCAATAACTTCCTGCTTGAACTTAAGGCTCGCTCCATAAGACGGACTTATGCCTCTTACCTTTAACTATGACAAGAATTGCTGGGTAGGTCATAGGCTTTAGGGGAGAACCTACTGCTGTTTTTTTGCTATGTGGACAAAGTAATTAAACTCCCTAAGCACTTACTTTTCTACCCATGGATTAGATCATCTGCCAACTCTCACCAGAGAAGCTTCTTTGTGCTGTAGATGGTGACTACTGCAGAGACCCATAACTGGTCAATGTGCAGAGAATAAGAGATTGTGGTATCTGCAACTAAAGATAAAGAACTCCCTCCTTTTTTAAAAAAGATTTTATTTATTTATTATTATGACTATAACATCTTGCTTCATGTATGTCTGCACACCAGCAGAGGGCACCAGATCTCATTATGGATGGTTGTGAGCCACCATGTGGTTGCTGGGAATTGAACTCAGGACCTCTGGAAGAACAGTCAGTGCTCTTAACCTCTGAGCCATCTCTCCAGCCCACTCCCTCCCTTTTAATTTGATTTTTCCTAATTGCTCTGAATAGGACTCATTTATCTATTTATTTATATTTATTTATGAGGTAGTCTCTGTACATAGCCCTGGCTGTCCTGGAACTCACTATGAAGACCAGGCTGGCCTTGAACTTACAGAGATCTGCCTGCCTCTGCCTCCTTGGTACAGGGATTAAAGGTGTGTGCCACCACACCCAGTTGGCTAGGATTCTTTTTTTTTTCTCAATATATGTTTTTATTTAAATTATAAACATGAATGCTTCGCATGTCAATCCTAGCTCCCTCTCCCACCCCTCCTCCCTTGTCCCTCCACCAGCCTCCCTCCAACCCCCCCCCCCCCCCCATCCCGGTATCATTCCCCAGGGAGGGTGAGGCCCTTCTTGGTAGGAACCTCCAGAATCTGTCATTTCATCCAGGGCAGGTCCTAGGCCCTTCCCCATGTGTCCAAGCTGAGAGAGCATCCCTCTATGTGGAATGGGCTCCCAAAGTTCATTTGTACGCCATGGCAAACACTGATCTACTACCCAAGACTCCAGAGATTTCTGAGGCCTCCTCACTGACACTACATTCATGGAGTCTGGATCAGTCCCCCGGTTGGCCTCTCAGCCATCAGTTTGGGGTTCAAGAGCTCCCCCTTGTGGCTAGGACTCTTAGTATAATTTTGTAAACGTTTCTGATTATAGGGGAAAAGCTTCCGGTCTTTCACTGTTGTACATCAGCTGTGGACTTTTCTTTTCTTTTCTTTTCTTTTTTTTTTGGTTTTTCGAGATAGGGTTTCTCTGTATTGTTTTGGAGACTGTCCTGGAACTCGTTCTGTAGACCAGGCTGGCCTGGAGCCCACAAAGTTCTGCCTGCCTCTGTCTCCCAAGTGCTGGGATTAAAGGCTTGTACCACCACTGCCTTGCCAAATCAATAACTTTTATTTACTGTAATAAGGGTGAGGAGGTTACTTACAGGAGCAGAAATGACTCAAAGACGTCTGCATCACTAAAGCCCATCCCAGCCTGGGTGACAGATCATAAAGTCTGGGAGACTGGAGTACACTGCACAGCCTACAGGCAATTTAACAGCTAGAAGGGCATCTTTCCAGGTGCCTTAGGTAGTCTCACCTTTTGCTAGGCAGCTGGACTGGCCCTAAGAGTCTTAGCAGGTTTGCTTGTCTGAGAGTCTTTGCAGCTGGCCCGGAGGGGGCCTAATGAATCCGGTCAGTTTCAGGGACTTCCTGAAACTATTTTGAGTTGTTTATCTTCCTGCTTAGGGACTGTCCCTGAAGGATGAAATGTTTTGCTATTGGAGAAAACTTACACAACACACCTACCTAGAGGTCCAACTACCCACAATGAGCTGGCCCCTCCTGCATCAATCATTAATTAAGAAATACAGGACAGCCGGGCGTTGGTGGCGCACGCCTTTAATCCCAGCACTCGGGAGGCAGAGGCAGGCGGATCTCTGTGAGTTCCAGGCCAGCCTGGTCTACAGAGTGAGTTCCAGGACAGCCTCCAAAACAATACAGAGAAACCCTGTCTTGAAAAACCAAAAAAGAAAAAGAAATACAGGACAATATGATGGGGGCATTTTCTCAGCTAAGGTTCCCTTTTCCCAGATGACTCTAGCTTGTGTCAAGTTGGCAAAAAACTAGTCAGCATATCTATAATCCCAACATTTGGAAGGCTGAGGCAGGAGGATCTCAAGTTTGAAGTCAACCTCGGCTATGTGAGGAGATCCTGTGCCACACACACACACACACACACACACACACACACACACACACACACAGTATTTTCCACCTTATTTCTGTGGTATATGGATGCCTTACATGAAGTTAGTAGAGGTCCTTTCTTAAAATAATGCCAACATCAAGAAGTCTGGGACAGTGCACTTGGAAATCTGTCCTTGGAGAATCTGTCACACAAGAGCATATTCAAGGCTATGAAGTGTGAAAATCAATTTGCTAGACTATAATATTTATTTATTTATTTATTGAAATACACATTCTCATGTCACGGGATGCTAACATTCCACAGTAAGATATGAGGGGATACTACCTTAGAGCAAACCCCGACTCTCAAATCCTCCCACAGTTGAAGCGCTTCCTAGGGCCTCTCCGACAGGGCTTCTCCAAGGACACTCAGAAAGCATGAGTGCCAGGTGGTTGGCTTGGAGGGCCTGAGCCCTTATGCTAGTGGGAAGTTAACAAAAGACAGCATTTGGGAGTGTGGTACAGCCACCCACCCCCAGCTCTTTGCTGGTAAAGGAGCTGCGTAGGTTCCCTTGTGCCAGCCCAGCTCAGTATGGATGGCCCATGCGTGCTGGTGGTAACTGATCTTTGATCTCATAAGACCAGACTCTTCCTTTACTTGACCTACCTCTGGGAGGTCTTCCTGGCCCCACTCTGTACAGGTGAGAGGGTAAGAATAGGATGGACTATATGGAGCTACCGAGGAGCCAAGAGGCCTGGGTTCAAGCCTTGGTGCTGAGTGACCTGGGAAAGCGGTTGAGAGCGTGGGCTTTGACGTCAGACACACCGGGCCCTTCCTCTCCCTTTGCACACCACTTTACCTTCTCACCCTTTAGATCGACAAGGAGATATGATAATGCATGCCAAGTACGATGCCCAGAGCAGAACAGGCACCTGGCAGGCTCAGCTCACCAGACTCCTTCATTGAATTTGAAGAGAGCCTTTCATGTTGCTGGTGGACCAGATGGACTTTTGAATGCAAACATGTTTTGCAAATTCTTGGAGATGAAGGAGTAGCCAGGCAGTTTTACTTTCATTACTGCCCTCAGTGCTGCCTCATCCTGTCTGGCTGGGCAGGACAGGGCAGGGCAGGGCAGGGCAGGGCAGGGCAGGGCAGGGCAGGGGGTGTGGACCACACCAGCCTTCTTCCCTACTCTCAGGCAGAACCATTTCTCCATGACAGAACATTGGCAAGAAGATGTCCTGCCAGCAGTTCATTGCCAACTTGGACCAGCTGAACGATGGCCAAGACTTTGCCAAAGACCTGTTGAAGGTACAGTCCTCGGAAGCCCTCGGGCCCCTTGCCCACGTGAATGGAGTAGAAATGTGCCCCACTAAAGCCATGACTTTCTAGATGCATAGCATTGCAACCAGGGTCCCATCGCTCTGGGGGCAGAGCTGGAGAGTGCTTAGTTCCTCAGCTGACTGTTCTGTCTTCTCCAAGAAAGACAGACGGAGAGGTTCACTTCAATTTTAGTGCTCCGGTCACCACCATTTCTGTCACAGCAATAGCCATCACTACCGACAATTGTAATGGCTGCTACCCATCATCACCACTACCACCACCGCCATCACCACCGTAAAAACCACCACCACCACCATCTCTACTACCACAACCAACGCTACCACTGCCATAACCACAGGGAAAGGCTCATTCATTCCTTCATCACTAGCAATGAAAGAAATTAGTTTTTTCTTTGAGGATGAGGCTCAGAGTGAAGTTCTGGCCTTAGAAAAAGCAGAGCAGATTTATATTAGGGGTATGTATCCATGATGACTTCATTTTTAGATAGTCTTTTAATATCCTTATGGCGGTGCTAGGAGGGGAGAGTTGAATGGTAAGTCTAAAGTAAGATACATACAATTACTATGTGTCAGTCGCAGAAACTAAAATAAAACATTGTTTCTGCCTCTCTTTTTGCTGTAATTATCTGCTTCACCATCAAGAAGTACCTGTTGAGAACATACCTTTCCGATCAAGCCAGGAGGTGGCGGTGCACACCTTTAATCCCATCACTTGGGAGACAGAGGTAGATGGACCTCTGAGTTTTGAGGCCATCCTGGTCTACAGAGAGTTTCAGAGCTACACAGAGAAACTCTGTCTCGAAAACAGCAACTAAGCAAAACAAGATTAAATCATCACCCGTTCATTCACTTCCCCCCCATCTACTTATCTATCCTTTGCCTACATCTTCATCTACCCACATATTCCTCATGGACCCATCTGCCCAGCCATGGAACCACTTACCTACCCACGTACCTACCTGTTCACCCCTCACCCATTCCCATACCACCCAGCCCCCAAGCTACTTTTTTTTTTCTTGAGACAAGGTCTCATGTAACTCAGGATGGCCTTCAACTCACTGTAGCTGAAGATGACCTTGAGCTTCTGATCCTCTTGTCTTCACTTCCCAAGTGCTGGGGTTACAGGGATGTGCTGCCATGTGGTTCTGGGCATCAGAATGCAGGGCACGTGACTTCAGCACTCTATCAAATGAGCTGCATTTCCAGCCCCCCCTCCCCCCCGCAAACACGAGTATGCTAACCACTAACCCATTTTGACATCCATCCATTTGCTTCCCAGCATCCCATCCATCCACCCACCCCGTGACGTGGTGTTATAGACTTTGTACTGAGGATTCAGTGGTGAACAAGTCAGACATCATTGACCTTGGGAAGCTTACAGCCTCCTGGCTAGACAGACAGTCATGACTGCATGGCAAAATATCACCCATCCGTACGCCCGCCTATCCACTTATTTATTCACCAATTGACATCGGACAAGTATGAGCCCAGCACCCTCTTTACCCGTTAATGCAAAGGTGCCCCCCCTCCCCCACCACAGCCTCATTGCTGGCGATGACACAGGGATTTCTCGGACTCCCCACCTTAACTCCTTTCTCCCTCCCCACCCTTTTTTTTTTTTTTTGCCCCTGTTCAGACGCTTTACAACTCCATCAAGAACGAAAAGCTGGAATGGGCCATGTGAGTAGTGCTCAAGGGTGTGGTTTATGTGAAACTGGTTACCATGGGAGTGAGTAGCTGGGCATGCAGACCACTCTCCATGGTGCTGATTTATCCTAACTCAGGCCCCTGACATCCCCTACCCGGCTGGGAAACACCTTTGCGGGTTCGTTTCCTGACTTGATTACAGGTGTGCAAAGTTAGCTGTAGACTAGATTCAACCCTGAGTTTAGTTCTAGGAGTGTCTGTGGCTGGTTTGTCTGTACCGAGGATATTGTGGAGTTCCCAATCAATGACAACAGGGAAGTAGGAAGTCAGGGGGTCCCCAACAATGCTGGCAGTGTGAAGGTATTTGGGTGGAGACTGCTTTGGCAGTGGGAAAGGGGGGGGGTGAATGCCCCGACTCCTTCACCTATGAAGGTTGTGTGTGTACAACCATTAGCAAAGATGGGTGGAGATGTCTCTGGTTGGTGCTGTTGTGACTGGTTCTGGGGGGCGGGGAGCCCTGTTGGCTGAGCTGCCAAGGGAAGATTGTGCCTTTGGGTACGTGTGGAGACCCAAATCTCAGGGGGACTATAACCCTGCTTGAGAAGAACTGACACTATTCTACCAGGGCTCCCATGGTAGACCTGGGCTTTAGGGCTTGCCCACACGGCTTTACCGTTTCCTGCATTTTGGCATGGTTTATGCAACAGCTTCAATCTGAAGTGGGCTAGAGCTCCTGGGACTGGAGAGGAGAAGGGAGACTGGGGGAAGGAGACTTGGAGACAGAAGTCTTCAACTCTATGTTAGAGGTGAAGATTAGCTTAGAGATCCCAAATCAAAGGTCCAGACACCAAAGGCCAGGACTGAAGACAGGGGTGGTTGGACCCCCTGGAGATGTCTTCTGGAATCTTTTTGTCCCCAACTTTGACGCCAGAGGGGTGGCCTGTGGGAAAGGCTGTGGCAAGGGGTGGGGGGGCAAGGCCTCTCAGGAGGTGGCTCTCAGGTCTGGTACCTTCCTAGTGATGAGAATGAGCTGAGAAAATCCCTGTCTGAGCTGGTGGATGACAAGTTTGGGACAGGCACAAAGAAGGTGACTCGGATCTTGGATGGTGGCAACCCATTCCTGGATGTCCCGCAGGCTCTCAGCGCTACTACCTACAAGCATGGAGTGCTGACCCGGAAGACTCATGCCGACATGGACGGCAAGAGGAGTGGGTGTCAGGCTGGCCATGGGACCTGGGAGGGGGGGTGCTGGTGTAGGAGGGACCTAGCCTTGGCCATTCCTTTGGGAACACACATGAAAGTGGACATGCATGGGGAGGCAAGTTACCAGTTACGGAAGCAGAGGGTTGCAGCCGTACTACCTGTGCCCCCCCCCAGCACCCCGTGGGAGGCGTGGCTGGAAGAAATTCTACGCGGTGCTCAAAGGGACCATCCTGTACCTGCAGAAGGTGAGAGGGAGGCTGCTTCAGAGCCCTTGCCTAGAAACGGCTTGCTCCATCTCGTCTATCCCCTGCCTGTGGTACCCAGCTCAGGGTCTTCTGGTCAGGACTAGGGCCTTCTTCTAGTAAAGGTCAGACCTGGACTCACTCGGGAACTTTGAGGGTTTTGGGAAGGGGACTCTGTTGCCAAGTGGATTAGTGTTAAACCTCTGGGACGGCCTGGGATGCGAGGGGAGGGTACATGGAGTGACTCTCATTGGGGTCTGGGAAGGTAGAGATCATACAAGGGAACAGCGGGAGGGAGGGAGGGAGGAAGGGAGGGAGGATGGGACGTGTGGGGCAGTAAGCCACAGCCTGGAGTGACGCAGCATGCCTCCCTCAGGATGAATACAGGCCCGACAAGGCTCTGTCCGAGGGCGACTTGAAGAATGCCATCCGTGTGCATCATGCCCTGGCCACCAGGGCCTCCGACTACAGTAAGAAGTCCAACGTGCTCAAGCTGAAGACAGCAGACTGGAGGGTCTTCCTCTTCCAGGCACCGTAAGTGGGTGCGAAGCTGGGCTGCCCGCACCAGCACCCCTGCAAGCTCCACTCTTCGGGTCTCGGGATAGACGCCCCAGCCGAACATGCCGGTCGGCCACAGACCCGGCGGCGTGCCTGCCCCCCCCCCCAAGGTCGACAGCCACGTCAAGTCTTCCAGGGCAGCCCATTCTCAGTGGGGTCCTTTCTGTGACCTGAAAGCTGGGTAGAGGCACCATCTTAGGCCCGCAGAGTCAGACCCGGGTGGGGAGTGCAGACCACGGGGCTGCAGGTGCACCCTGGAGTCCTGCAGGTCTGGGCGACCCAATCCTTGAAGGGGACTCAGAGGTTGTGGGGAAGGGCTGTCTCTACCTTCAGCGCGTAAGGCCTTCTTCTACTCCGCCGCACCCCATCCTCTGTGACTAGAGATGAGGTTTTGCACATGTCAGACAAGCCTCCCACGAAGCTTGTGTTTGGGGACTGGGGATGGAGTGGGAATGCTGGGCAGGTGGTGGGGGACGGACGGAGGTTTGCTCACTGCAGCTCATGGGGTCTAGGGACACCGGTGGAGACTGTAGCAGGATTGCTTCATGGGAGTCCAAATGGGAGTTCCTATCCAGTTCTGACCAGGCTCCTTCCTGTCCTTGCCTAGGTATTAGGGATTTCTCCGCCAGACTTCATGCTGGGTACTGGATGCCAGGTGTGGGGAGGGCTGGAGGTCCTATCGTGAAAACCTGGAGCCTTCTTACGCCCTCTTTTGTCCCCAGGAGCAAGGAAGAAATGCTGTCCTGGATCCTGAGGATCAACCTGGTGGCCGCCATCTTTTCTGCACCGGCCTTCCCAGCAGCCGTCAGCTCCATGAAGAAGTTCTGTCGGCCCCTGCTGCCTTCTTGTACTACTCGCCTCTGCCAGGTACAAGCTCCTGGGTTAGGCTGCTGGCCTCAGCTCAGCTCTTCTTCCTCTGGGTCACGTGGGCCCTGGGCTGAGGGGCACCAGGGGAGGAGAGATATTCAACCGCCCCGTCCCCCCACTAACAGGTGGGAAGATGGAGACCCCCTCCCCCCACGTACACAGCACACGGAAGCCTGGCGGTGCTGTGATGGGTGACGTGGGCAAGCTCCCCTGCCAGTGGCAATGCAGTCGTAGGGGTGTGTGGTTGTGGGTCTGTGGCATGAATTGAGAGGCTGTATGTGTCAGAGGGACAGGGAAGGCTTGGGTGGCCCTTCATCCAGTGCTCCATCTGACTGTTTAAATGCCTATTTATTTGTGTGTGTGTGTGTATGCATGTGCGCATTGGATGCACGCGTGCCTGCGTACATCCTGCTTAACATGATCTTCATTCTATCAACCTTCTTCTAAATGACATCATGGTTTAGTTTTAACTTTTCAAAATTTATTTATAGTACATGTGTTCCTGTGTGAGTTTGTCTGCACCACATGCATGCAGGTGCCCCACAGAGACCAGAACAGAAGAGGGCATCAGATTTCCCCTGGAACTGGAGTATCAGGAAGTTGTGAGCTACCTGGTGTGGGTGCTGGGAACTGAACCTGGTTCCTCTGGAAGAGCAGCGAGTACTCTTAACTGCTGAGCTATCGTTTCAGCCCCTACAATTCAGTCTTTGTGGTTGAATAAGACTTCGTGTGTATATACACACTACATTTATGAATCCACTCATCTGTTGGCAGACAGCCAGACTGATTCTGTCACTCGGCTGTTGTGAACAGTGCTGCAAGGTGCATGGGTGTGCATGCATGGGTGTGCATGCATGGGTGTGCAGATACTGCTGTGGTGTGCTGGCTTGGGTTCCTTTGGGTGTAGTCTCAGCAATGGTACAGTTGGGGCATGGTAGTTTTTGAAATCTTATTATTTTGTGTGTGTCCCTGTGTTAGGGTTGGGACACACATGGCGTGTGTGGGTGTCAGAGGACAACTTGGTGGAGTCTGCCCTCTCCTCTACCTTTACATGGCTTCTGGGATCTGATTCAGGTGATTCAGATTGTTCAGCAAGCAGTTTACCCACTGAGCTATCTCCGTGGCCTCCTCTGTTTTTAGTTTTGTTTGTTTGTTTTGTTTTGCTGAGCTTCCATCCATAGTAATTTCCTCAGTAAATGTACTTAACTAATTTACAGTCCCACCCACAGTGTGTGAGGGTTCCATTCCTCCAGTCATCACAAGCATTTGTGTTACGGTTTTTTTTTTCTTTTTTTGAGACAGGGTTTCTCTGTCTAACAGTCCTGGCTGACCTGGAACTCTCTTTGTAGACCAGGCTGGCTTCGAAATCACTGAGATCCTCCTGCCTCTGCCTCCCGAGTGCTGGGGTTAAAGGCGTGCACTGCCACCAACCAGCGTACGATGCTTTTCTCATAAAACATTTTTTGAGACCTCATTAATTTTATTTTACGTGTGTGGGTGTTTTTCCTGAATGTATGTCTGTGCACTGTACATGTGCCTGGTGCCTTCAGAGGTCAGGTGAGGGCATACAATCTCCGGGAACTGGGGTTGCAGATGTTTGTGAGCCATGTGCGGGTGCTGGGAATTGAACCCAGGTCTTCTGGGAGAGAAGCCAGGGCTCCTTACCATCTCTCTCTAGTTCCTATTTTTAAGTTTTTAGAAACAGTCCAGTGTTGACTTTTGTCTTAGTCGGGGTTACTATGGCTGTGATGAAACACCATGACCAAAAGCAACTTGGGGAGGGAAGGATTTATTCTACAACCAGTTCCATTTAACTGCTCATCATCAAAAGCAGTGAGGGCAGGAGCTCAAGCAGGGCAGGAACCTGGCGGCAGGAGCTGATGCAGAGGCCATGGAGAAGTGCTGCTTACTGGCTTGCTCAGCCTGCTTTCTTATAGAACCCAGCACCACCATCCCAGGGGTGGCCCCACCCACGATGGGCTTTACCCTCCCCTGTCAACCACTAATTGAGAAAATGCCCAGGCTGGAGAGACGGCTCAGAGGTTAAGAGCACTGACTGTTCTTCCAGAGGTCCTGAGTTCAATTCCCGGCAACCACATGGTGGCTCACAACCACTTTGAATGAGATCTGGTGCCCTCTGCTGGCATGCAGGCAGAAGACTATACACAATAAATAAATTAAAAAAAAAAAAGAAAGAAAGAAAATGCCCTCCCTACAGTGGAGGTCCTTTCTTAATTGAGTTTTTCTCCTTAGGCAGCTCTAGTCTGATGTTAAACTAGGCAGGACAGTATTCTTTTTTTTTTTTGAGACAGGGTTTCTCTGTAGTGCTTTGGAGGCTGTCCTGGAACTTGCTCTGTAGACCAGGCTGGCCTCGAACTCACAGAGATCCGCCTGCCTCTGCCTCCCGAGTGCTGGGATTAAAGGCGTGAGCCGCCAACGCCCGGCTCTCTTTTTTTAATCTTTAAATACGTTAGTTATATTGCAGTGAAAATCCCATCTCACTAATACTGCATATTCTCAGGGTATTTTGGACAGGACAGGATAAAGGATGGACCAGAACTTGAGAACAGAGGGCCAGCAAGGTCCAAACTTTCTTCCTCAGCCATTGGCCTCTTTCCTATCAGGGCCTTTGTCTCTCCACAGAGCTTCAGGGCATGTCTGCGTGGAGTGCCTCCTATGTGTGTTCACAGTGAACACAGACATACCATACACACACACACACACACACACGCACGCACGCACGCACACACATCGAATGAGCACGCATATGCACACACACACACACACACACGCACGCACGCACACACATCGAATGAGCACGCATATGCACACACACACACACACACACGCACGCACGCACACACATCGAATGAGCACGCACGCACACACATCGAATGAGCACGCATACGCACACACACACACACGCACGCACACACATCGAATGAGCACGCACACACATTGAATGAGCACGCACGCACGCACACACATCGAATGAGCACGCATACGCACACACACACACACACGCACGCACACACATCGAATGAGCACGCATACGCACACAAGCACCCTTGGATGCTTGCACCACGGGTGGCATCCACCCATCCGTGTATACAGATTGCGGGGCATGTGTGTGTGTGTGCACTGGCCAGTTAGTTACAATGTCTCAGTCTACCTTTAGGTGTGATCTGGATCTGCTGCTACTATGTACATCTGAGAATGGTTGTGAGACCATGCATGTGCTGTGTAGAGGTAGGGATAATTGGTGCCGGGCTGACCCTTGGCCCAGCGCGCCTGGGTGCACAGGTGGAATTCTATGCAAGGGGCTGTGGCGGTGGCGGCGGCGGCGGTCCGTTTCACAGTGCGCGCGCACACATGTGAAAGTAAAGCGCTCCTATCCCCCTAGCCTGCCGGTCCCTGAGGAGGGCCGATGTCCCTGTGGGGAGGGAGGAAAGGAAGCTGGAAGGAGCGTTCACATCTAGAGCCCACCTCTGCGCCCACGTGTGAATTTGAGGACCCTGGTCAGCGCCAGTTTTTCCTTTGGCGAGGCCGCTTCCAGTGTGATGGGGTTAGCCCACCCCCTGTGACATCCCAGACCTCACAGATGTGTGGGCTTGTCTTCGTAGGAGGAACAGCTGCGGTCTCACGAGAACAAGTTGAGGCAGGTGACCGCAGAGCTGGCTGAGCACAGGTGTCACCCAGTGGAGAGAGGCCTCAAGTCCAAGGAGGCGGAGGAGTACCGGCTGAAGGAACACTATCTCACGTTTGAGGTAGGTCTGGGAGGCGAATGGCAGAGGCCAAAGCTGGGGCCAGAGGAGGAGGCCAGCTCCCCCCCCTCCACTTCCTGTCATCAACACCAAAAGCCAGGGACTCTGGTTTGAGACTCCCCTACTGTGGGCCGGCCAGTCTTGCACAGTCTGGCTGTCAAATGTTGATCAGTTTTGCCTGTGCCTACGTCAATGCTGTGGAAGGGTTTCTATTAACTATACCCATTTGGTAGAAAGGTAAACTGATGCTCAGAGAAGCCAGAGTGCTGGCCTGAGGTGAACACGCTTAGGAAGAGCAGGATCCTCGCCTGGCGACTGGCTGCAGCTCTGACATCTGAGTCCTCTCTGGCTGGCTTCCTATGGGTGGGGAGGACACAGAGCCTGGTAGGCAGAACTGGGGTGTGGGGGGGGGAAGGCTCCCCTGTTGGTGGAGAAGGCCTGAAGCTCAGAGTCAAGGTGTTCAGATACCACTAGGCCCCCGTCCTAAATGTTGACAGCAAGTTGCATCCCTTCTAAGTGTTTATGAACCCGTCCCTTTCCTTACCAACACTGGGCATTTGGAAACGCTTCCATCTCCAGTTGACCTCACAAGTTTAACAGTCTTTGTCTTTTTTTGTTTGTTTGTTTGTTTGTTTTTTCGAGACAGGGTTTCTCTGTATTGTTTCGGAGGCTATCGGTCCAGCCCGGCCTCGAACTCACAGAGATCCACCTGCCTCTGCCTCTCGAGTGCTGGGATTAAAGGCGTGCACCACCACCGCCCGGCCAACAGTCTTTGTCTTATTGCTATTTTAATTTAGATTTCACATTTTTTAATTAAAAATATTTCTTTTTGTTTATGTGTGCCTGAGCACTTGTTTGTTGGTGCCCGTGAAGGCCAGGAGAGGAATCAGATCCCCTGGTGCTGAAGTTACAGGGGCTGTGGGCTGCCCACTATGGATGCTGAGAACTGAACTTGGGTCACCTGCATGAGCAGCCAGCACCCTTAACTGAGGCTTCTCCCCCAGTCCCCCCAAATTTTAAAACTTTAATTGCGGCAACGCATCATAATACGCTGTGCCATCTTGATCACTTTTGAGTGTGTAGCTCAGTAGCGTCTATTCACATGGTTGTGCCAATTTCCAGACTTTTCTATCTCCCCAAATGCAGACTTTGTGCTCATTAAGTATAATTTCCTTACCCTTCAAATCACAGGAGTTTTAAATACCAATGCAGTCCCGTTTGTCTGTTTTTTTTTTTTTTGCGTCTTTATTGCCCATGTCTTTCATGTTATATCTAAGAAATCATTGACATTATTCGTATTTTCAAGTTATAAGTGAGAAGCTGGGCATGATGGGGCCTGACAATAATCCCAGTACTCAGGAATTGAGGCAGGAGAATCACTGTAAGTTTAATGTCAGTCTGGTTTGCAGAGTGAGTTCCAGACCAGCCAGAGATACATAGTGAGATGATGTCTCAAAAAAATTATGAGTGAGATTTAGGTGTATGTAGTCTGCCTATTTCTTTTATTGGGTAGTTTATTTACTTTTTATTGATTACAAGAACTCCTTGCATGCCTCTGAGGGCAGTGCTTTGCTACTAGTTTTCAAAGATGAAACTCCCACCTCCATTTTGTCGTATCTCTTTTGACTTTGTTTTTGGCTCTTGTCTGCCCTTTTCCCAGAAAAGTCGTTATGAGACCTATATCCATCTCCTGGCCGTGAAAATCAAAGTGGGCTCAGATGACCTGGAGCGGATTGAGGCCCGGCTGGCTACTCTGGAAGGGGATGACCCAGCTCTCCGGAAAACACACTCAAGCCCTGCCCTCAGCCTGGGCCACGGGCCTGTGACTGGCAGCAAAGCCACAAAGGATGCCTCTGCATCTGATACTTAGCTGGTGCAGCTGTGCAGGCCCTGGAGTCAGGCAAATGTCCCCAGAGGGGTCCGTGAGCACAATTCCAGCCAGAGGCTGTTTGAACCAAGCTCCAGGCAGTTAGCAGGCAACCAGAGGGGTATGGAGAGCCGTGTGGCCAAGGGGATGCCATTCATGGCCCTGATCTTCTTGCATCCTGGGCCATCTCTGGCCTAGACCCCCTTTTAGTCCTGGCTGCCCTCAGGCCATGGGGCCTTGCTTTGCAGGACAGACACGCTCTAGGGCTGCCAACTGGAGAAGTCCATCACTGTTGCTTCCCCAAGCCCCGTTCTCATCAAGCTTCTCCCTCATCTTGTGTCTGTGAGGATGGGTCTGAACTCTTAGGTCTCAGCTTGGACACCTACACTTTCTCCTCTTTCCTCTCAGTTGACCAGCAGCAGGTCTATGGACCGCCAGCAACGCCTTTTCCTTTCTTTTTTTCCCCAGCAACCTTTGCAACTGGTCCAGTTCTCCTGCCTCAGACTGTAATAATCTGAGGCCTAACCTCCACTCAGTGTGCCCAACTCTCCTTTTATCCACTGAGACCTCTCTTTTATATGGACACACACACACACACACACACACACACACACACACAACACACAACACGGGCTCCTTTAAGAAGGTCGGAGAACTACTGCCAGTTAGAGGTTAAAACAAGATGAAGGAAAAGCTCATCTCAGCTCGGCCTGCTAGCAACGAAGCCCGCCCTGGGGGCCTCCGCTACCCTGGTACCCTGGATGGAAAGATGGAGGTCCTCTGTGTTTTTGACTTTTCCTCTTCCGGCTGACTTGTTGTGACTCATAGTCACTTCTCCAGTTGATGCTTTTGGACTAATCAGGATGTGGATGTCACCTCTTCTGTCCCAAGGGTGTCCTGTGGGGTGTGTGGCTCAGGAGCACACCTCTGTTTGTCTGGATCTTCTGATAGTGCTGCCAAGGTCTCTGAGTTCCAGTGCGGCCTCTGCACAGACCTACTGGCAGGAGGGAAGGACACTCTACGTTGCTGAGTGCCATCATCTACCAGCAAGCCCAGGCTGGATGCTAGAGGAAGCTGTTAATCCATGGTCTTGGGGGAAAAGGTGGGGTGGCTAGTTTTCGATTACTGATTAACTCTTTCTTGTTTCTTAGTGAATCAGAAAGGCCTAGCTAGGGAGATTGCTGAGAACAGAGACACGTGTCCATCACAGGTTGACATCCTTTAAACCCTCTATCACTTAGACCAACAAGTGAGCTGAGGGGATGGCCCTCTTGACACAGCTACCGTGAGCCAGCCTTTCCTATTGTTTGGCCAACAGTTTGACCTCTTTGGTGACATAAACCTTGCGACTAAGCGCCTAATGTGTAAAAGTCCACTCCCATTGGATGTGGGGAGCTGTACTCGGAGAGGCCTAGGGGGTTTAAATCCAAATAGTTTGAATTGGATTAGCTGAAGTGTGCATTATAGCCAAACCATCTGGCTCCTTTGTTTTGCTCAGGGGAAGTAAATGCTCATTTGAATGAGATCAGAAAGGCGATTTAGGGGAAGTAAAGAGATCTCAGTTCTTTGTCCAGCTGCCTGAAGGTCCTCTGATTTTTTCAGGCCAGAGTCCCAGTCTCTGTGTCACAGGGGCGGGGATGACAGCAGAGGTGCCAGCTCACTGGCCGCAGACACGCGGGATTCCCCAAGCACTAGCCGTGCTTCCCATGAGTAAAGACATTTTTTTTAGTTCGCTTCCTTAATTGTATAATTCTTTATTTGTAAATTATATACATGTACTACTGTACTAAAATACTATGTACATTATAAAACATACACAAAAATAGAAATTTAAAAAAAGATGAGATGAAAATAAATCTAAATCAAAGTTCTAATATTTTTTTTTCCTGCATTCTAATAGACCATCACGTTCCTCTTCCCTAACCGCTGTCCCTAACATGCCCATAAGGACTAGTCAAATCCAGGGCCCAACAAAATTCAGTAAGTGGTTTGCTCTGTCTAGAGGTCCTGGGAAGTTGCCCAGGGCTCAGGAAAGCCTGGTGGCTAACTCTTGACAAATAGACAGTGGTGAAAGAGGCCAGCTCCCTGTCTTCATGGGTCTCCCAGTTGTGGGGGGGGGACCTGGGGGAGAAGGGGTTATCATTGCTACAGAGGACTCTGAGAGGGACCGGGGAAAGACACTAAACGTGTTACTACAAAGTAAAGAAACTGGGAAGCAGGGAAGACAACTTTGACCTAGGAAGCTGCCTGAATGTCCTGAGTGTTCCAGGGGACAGGGTGGTGGAAGGGAAGCTGCTTACAGCGATTTCAGTGTTCCCCGAAAGGCCACACACTCAGTTTCCCCCCTCGAGGCTGAAGCCTGAGAGTCAGGGCGGGCAAGAAGGTCTCTCTGGTCGAGCACGCTCCTGAGTCTCAGTCATGCCCGTCCGTGGACTTGGTGGCCGATGCAATGAGGAGACAGCCGAGGACTAGGTCAAGTCTGGCCTTGGGCTCTTGGCAGGTATCTTAGACTCCAGAGCAGATGATGGAGGAACAAAACGGGGTTATACACAGATAGGAGAATTCATCTGAGTCATAAAGGTGGTTTCTGAATGAAAACCTAGAAGGCAACCACTTAAAGCCCTCACAGAGGCTAACCTGGATCGTAATAAGATCTGATCAGTGGGCTCACCAAAGAGGTCACAGCAGTTAATTTGGGGTCCCGTAGAGATCAGAGGTCACATGTAAGGGTAACCACCCTAAGCAAGCCCTCGAGGCAACAGCAAACTGAGATAGAGAAATCTAATGAGGTCACCTGTCGGGGCTTAGAAGAGGTCCATGATCTACAAGCCGGTGTAACGTTCAGCCCAGTAATTTTTCTTTCATCTTTTTCTCCTCTGTAGTAAGCGCCCCCTTCAGCATCCCTCGACGAATTTTGTAAGCTTAGACTTAGTCATCGAGTTTCTGCCACTTTGTGCTTCAAGGCTGCAAGGCTTAGGGTTCTGTCACCAGCACCATCAAGGCATCTGTCAGCAGCAGTGTTAGGTCCTTGTGCATGCAGCCCTCCACAGCGACTCTCTGGGGCATGCGATTTCTTCCTCATTTCTCACCAAGCAGACTGTGGTCTGGAGAACAAACGGGCCAGAGCTGGCACTCACATTCAGTCCTATTGTGCCCCTCTGTCCCACTGTCTATTAGTGCCCGTGTAGCTCCACACTAGTAGGACATTAAAGAACTGTACATAAGCACACAAAAACGTGGGCACGTTCACCCCAGCTCTTTGGAGAGAAAGGCTTCAGTTCCAGAAGGCTGGGCATCTTCCTTCCTGGCACTCTAGGGGTTGCGGAGGAGAAAGACTCTTCACCCTGGACTCCATTTGCCCCCTCCATGCCCAAGATCAGACCTTCACCAGAGTTGCAGGTTTAGACAGACCCTGGCTCTGAGGGGGGTTATAAAACTGGGGAAAGGGCAGTAGTAGTACCCTGTGGGCTTAGAAGCTGCAGCTGTTGTGGTCCCCCTGGCAACGAGGGGTACCCATGATGCTGTCTTACATGTCCAGACTCTTGCCTGTGACGCGCTTGAACCCCAGGGCCAACCCCACAACCCTTCACCTGGGTGGAAAACGGTTGCCTCAGTCCAGCTTCCCAGCTCCAGGGCAGGGGCTGGGCCAGAACGATTTGCGTCAAGTCCCTTGGCTCGATTCCCCAGCACCCAGAGGGGACACCTTATGAATGATTTGGAAGGAAGACTTGGAGCAGGTGCTTGGAGCTGGGGCCAGCGGAACTGGAGAGAGGGTCACTTCCGCTCAGGGACTGCCCTGGCCTTCTCCGATCTTCATTCTAGTACCCACATGCCTTATCCCAGGTCCTCAATTATCTTATCTTCCCTCCTCACCTGGGGCCAGGTACACACAGTCAAACAGGAGTTATTTCTGATTTTATTTATAATATAAAAATGTTCAAGTGTCAACAGTCAGGTGTTTGGACATGTCAGGGTTCCCATTTGTTCCTGTTTGGGATTTTCTTTGTTTGTTTTTTAGACAATTGCCTTTTTTTTTTTTTGACAAATTTGCATTGGATCCAGTTGTGAAGGCCAGGGACTGGATGGAAGTCATAGGAGGGTTGGGGTGGGGGTGGGGGTGGGCTGTGAGAAGGACATGGTGTTTACTTTATTGCTAAAAGGGGAATCGAATACACTGTCGGAGTGGCTCTTTCGGGTCCCAGCGTGACCATGCATTCAATCTAAAGAATCTGAAATGCAAAGGACATGCAGGCGTAAAATAGAAAAGACGACCTGTAAACGAAGGTGCTGCAGAGGACAGAGGGTATCCTGGAGGCCACAGGGCAGGAGGAGCCATGAAGGTTGGGCCCCTGGTAGAGCTGCCCCCTCCCCTAGGCCGGGGGCTGGTGGGAAGACCGCCTTCTTTATCCTCTTTCCCTTAGCAGCTGCGAGGACCCCTCCCCATTCTAGTTGCTCCAGTGTGTGTGGGGGCGTAGGCTGTGTCTCCCCCCTGGAAGTAATCCGACCTCAATTCTAGCTCTAATCTTAAGGATCCCTACCCTCTGCGCAGGACTCCACATCTGGACTGGGGAAGATCAAATTCTGCCTTGTCTTCATTTTTTTTCTTACCATCTACTACCCTCAGGGCCATTAGAACCTCGGTCTCTTCTTCCCCTGCCTTTTCTCACCCCCACCGGTTTGGGATCCTACAAGTGCCCGTCCCCACACCCTGCACCCCAGACGACTCTCCAGGAGCCCCAGATTAGCGTACAGCAAAAGGCACCACAATATAGGTTTCTATTAAAGAGTCAAAAAATTGGCCCATCTCTCTTTTTTTTTTGTTGTTTCTTTTTTTTTCCGAAGCTGTAAATCAGGATGTTACATATAAATAGTTTCCCTATAAAAACGTCTTTGCCGTTAGCTAGTATTATAAGACAATTTTTTTGCTAAAATGAAAATAAAACATTTTGTTATACTTTTTTCCTTTTTATAGAAAATAAAAATATTTTTATTTCTTTGTTCGCTCCTATTCCCTCTTCAGTCGGTGGTCTCCGCTCTCCTTGGGAGACGTGGGGCGGGCGAGGCGGGGGCGGGGGCCTAGAGGGGCCCCGAGTCCTGCTTGGCCCTCGTGGGCGGCCCACGGCTGTGTCTGCTGCTGGCGCGCGTGCTGTGGCTGTCCAGGGAGTAGTAAGTCCTGCTATCGGCCGCCGGGCACAGCGGCGGCGAGTCCGAGCGCAGCGCGTCGTGCGCCGCTCGCAGGCCGAGGAAAGGCGTGCTCTCGGCCGCCAGCGCCCCGTCCGCGTCGTCCGCCTCGTCGTCCGAGGCCGACGCCGAGCCGCAGCCCGAGCCGCTGCTCAACGACAGCGAGTCCCGCGCCGCGCGTGCGCGCTGCGCCGCCAACCCGTTGAGGCGCGAGCGCCGCCAGCGCCGCGGCCCCGCCGACGTCCTGCGGGACGCGCCGCGCGTGCGCGGCCGCGGCGGCGGCGGGGGCGCGCACTCCTGCGTGGTCTCGTACTCGTCGTCCTCCGGGATGCGGAAGGGGCTGGCGGGCAGGCTGCCCAAGCTGCCGCCCAGCGCGCAGGCGCCGCGCCGCGGTCCCGGCCCCGCCGCGGGGTAATAGTAGCTGTCGTAGCTGCGCTGCATGTCCGCGCCGGACCCCGGTCCAGGCCCAGGGCCCGGCGGCGCCGGGTGCCGCAGGAGCGGCTGCTGCTCCGCCAGTCGGTAGCTGATGGGCGCGGCGGGCGGCAGCGACACGGCATGCGCAGAGTTGGGCGACGTGATCTCGAAAGTCGGCACCTGCGTGGCCAGCGAGTAGTGGAAGTCCACCGGCGAGAGGCGCGCGGGCGTGGTCAGGGCCGACACGTACCTGCGGGGGAGACAGAGCGTGTGGGTCGGGGAGTCTGGGTGCAGGGCCAGAGATTTCCAACCAGAAAGGACCCTTGAGAGCGAAGGCTGTGGCTCTCTCTGACCACGGTCGGTTTCCATGACCCCTCCCAGCCTGTTTTCGTCTGTTAAGCATAGATAACTGTAGTGTTTACTCCAGTGTGATGCTGGAAGATTTCAGAAATGTACTAGGGAAGTGCCGTAGCCCAGTGTCTGTCCTTGGATAAACATCCCTAAGTGGTCATTTGCTGTGGGGATGCTCATGGTCTCCGGGGCACGCTCAGCTGGGGGTATTTTACGTGTGGTCTCATCTATTCTGTATAATCTGTGTGAGGACCATACCACACACAGGAAGGAGAGACTCAGACATTTAAGAGCCAAGGACGAATGACCAAGATGTGGCCTGATCCATTCTTTCTGAGTCAACTGACTCCCTCCTCCCTGCTTCACCAAGACACCACTAGGTGTCTCTTCTTGGAGCCAGTGACTCCCAAGTCCTTGCAGGCCTGTTTTTGCAAATACCTCCCAGTGCGAATCCTGGGTACCTATGCCTGGGATCTGAACCCAGGTTAGGCTGAAACTAGTAAGCCTCATTCCAGAAACGGGTAGCTGCCATTCAGAGACTCCTGCATTTGAGCTCACTACCCTTGCTCGAATGGTTTACCCCACGGCTTGAGTCAAATGAGGGAAATGACTTAACTGTACTGAAAAACAAAGCTGCCGCAGGGAGGTGACACTGGGTAGGGTCCTCAAGCCAGGACAGGCAATACCAAGCTAACGCCATCTCTACTCCCCCGACTTCCTTGAAAAGTTTGCTGATATATCCCCAGATGTCCGTTTTTGCTCTTCACAGTTGTCTTGTGAGCCTTTAGCTGCCACCATTGTCCACCCCAGGACAGGGGTGACTCACTGCCATGCCTGCCTTCCAGACTGCATTCTAGGTACCGGATGCTCTCTGGAACTGGCTTAGCATCCTTCTTACTTTCTTACTGAACCAGTTGGTTCCGACCCT